TTTTGCAAAGACTAGTTACATGAGACTCATCATGGATGCAAACTTGACGAATGTTTCTGACGGTACGCAACCCTACACAACAATCATGATGTGGACTGATTTTCAATATTCAAGCGAATTTGTAACAGAGGCTAATTCCTTAGACAGTGTAAAATCAGTATCGTTTCAACATATTTTCACTGCAATCTTGGTTGGGTTTATCATACTTTCCAACACCATCAGTCTGGTTGCATTCTTGCTAGAAAAACGTCTCCGTTCCTATAATAATTACTTCATTATAAACCTTACCATACTTGATCTGTTAGTAGGGATTGGACTTTGTCCCTCCGTACAGCACATTTACGGCGGTCGGTACCCCTTCTCTCACAATGCATGTAAGGTTCTTTCAGGACTTTTCTACGGAATCGTCAATGCTTCAAACATCAACATCGTCGTCATCTGTGCCGATCGACATCAAGCGGTCTATGATCCCATCAACCATTTTATCTCTCGATCAACGCGTAAGGCCGTCATCATCAACTCTCTGCCGTGGGTGATTGGACTCTCGTTCTGGATTGGGTGCGTCACAGTGTGGGAGTTCGCCATCAGTTTCGACAACGGGGATCACTGCCTTCATCGAATTGCTTTCAGTCCCGTGACTGCTGTGTTTCAGGGGGTATTCGTGTTCTATCTACCAATCCTTATCATTTCCATCCTCTATATTAGAATCCTCATTAAGATCCGGAAGTCGGCTGGAGGACGGAATGTCAGCAAGGACTTTGCTTCAGCAGATACCCATCTTTCTAGCTCCACGGACACCGAGATGACTTCTGGAAGCATCCCATCTTTGCCGCATTCATGTTTGGACGTCGTTGATGCGGGAAGCGACAACGCAATAGCAACATCATCATCATCACCTAATGTAATGAAAATTGGAACCAGAGGCCAGGAATTATCGGTAAGTGAATCAACACTTATCTCTGAAAGGTATTTTATGCCAACCACGTCATTTCTTTCTGTCTTTAATCTTTCTTTCTTTTTCTCCTCTCCCTGCATTACAAAAGGATACAACACCAGATTTGTTGGAAGACTATCACCCTTTTCATCGAAATATTATGAACAATTCACCTATTGTAAAAGTATGTTTATGAGATGCATATTGCTTGCCTTCACGAAAGACTATGCGTACTCCCTCATTGTTTTGCATTTTATCTCCCTCCCCTCCTCTCTCTCTCTTTCTACTCCTTTTTTCTCTCTCTCTCCATACCTTCTCCATACCTTCTTCTCACTAACACGGTCTCTCTGTCTCTTTCTTTACATATCTCTCTTCCTATCTCCCTTTCCATGCCCAGTCTCTCTATCTCTCTCTCTCTCTCTGTTGCTCTCTCTCTCTTTAAATCACTATCTCCCTCTTCTCCCTCTCTCTCCCAGACAAAATTGTCTGATCGGGTGGAATCGACTGCAGAAGCGCGCAAAGCGACTCGTACTCTTCTTTTTATCGTCATCGCTTTCTTCACGACATCGATTCCAGGAAGTTTGATAAGCTTGATCTACAGCATCTCTCCTGCCCTCATCCGACCTGGCCTTTCACCACAAGCCTTTCGTTTCTTCTTATATCTCCAGTACGGCAACAGCATTTTAAACCCCATCTCATACGCCCTTTCTCAGCCCATGTTTCGGGCCACCATTACCAAAATCTTTTACTACAAACAATAGTTTTGCATTCTCTGCACAGCATAGGATCTCCTTGCAACACCAATGTGAGAGTTCCTTGATAATGATTCTCATTGAAAAGGCTTTTAAATCTTTACTCGCTATGAAGTTAAACCCCGGACTGCCACATTGTTTAGCAAGATATGATGTCTTTGTTCCAAAAGTCGACTTTGCCAGTTCATGTCTGCTCAATAAATCGACCAAAGCATATAAAGGGTTAAAAGTGGGGATTATTTTACGACGAACATTTTCCTTGCTTTTGCGAAAAAGGTGAAGTTATTCTTTGTACGAATCATCACGTTTTCTGCATAATCGGGGCATACTCTTCGATATCTTGAACCTGGCATGTTTTACATCTGAGTTCTCTTTAAAGTAAACATTGGGCAGTCGAACTTTATATCTATAATTTTCACGGTAATAACAAATACAAGTCGTTTCAAGTGTCTGTTCATGGGGTATCATGGTGGTTTTCCAGAGGGATTGTTCATAAAAATATACATGTAATAACGGGAAGGTACGTTAAGCTAGCGCCTAAATGAGGAAGTTCAGGTGCATTTTTTTCTTCAAAGGCACCTTTAATGATATTTCTTTTGTTCTTCTTCTTTATTTCCAATTCTCAAAGTTTACCTACACGATTATAATTTCAGCAAATACAATGAGCTAGGACCGTATTATAAGGGAGGTTTAAAGCGTCCATCCATTGTGATATTATAATACTTGTAATAATACTTTTCCCCAAAGGATGGTAGGTCAGTCTTGTCAAGTCAAGTCACTTCAAGGCGCTTGTTCTGCATCCAGGAGATCAAATAACCTTCGCATACAATGCGTCTTTTCCTAAAATGCTGCTTGTGCTCATAGTTGTCAGTAACTATCTATGGTATCTAGTTTTCAGATAAAATGCATTACAATGATACTTGGTACTTTTTATGCTATTACATAGTCAGCATGTTTTACGGAGAGAAATTTTAATAATTTAATAATGGTAATGTAAGAATACACAACAAAAAAAGAAAAGTAAACTTTTCGACTAAAATGAATTTATGCAAACTTATAGCTCTACGAGAAAATAGTAATAACCCGTTAAAAGTGAGTCAATACAGTTCTTAACCTTGCCGATACATCAATCATCATTAAGCTTGTAATGAGCTTATTACCAAAGTCTCATTATTGTTATACCACTTCTTGCAATATATGCGGAAAGATGAATCATATTTCGTGAAGTCACAAAGGCAACGTTGTGATAATGATGTTATACCGGTTTATTGCAAAGTTAATCGGTCCAATCCTATTTGTTATAATCCTCTTAAAAGTCTAACACCATCTTATTAGTATGTCAACGAAGCAAATTGTCTTACCATTACATCTACGTTCATTTCTTATGATAACCACTGGTGTCAATAGATCTTTCATTTTTAACCATTTGTTCTAAAAGTTACTTTGTCTTACAATTGAGTGCATGAACAGTACTTTATGAAAATGCCATTTTGTCTATCGTTATTGCATCTTGTAGTCCAAAACAAATTTTGATCAAAGAATAATTTATTCCAAAATTCAGTTTGTCGTATTTCAGTTGGTCTATTTTCATTTTGTCTATATCCATTTCGTCTAATGAGCTAATACGATCTAGTCATGATTTTAATAAACATTTGGTCTAATAATTAACGTTTAGGCCAAATAACCAGAGTACCCATTTGTTCTAAAACAGAGGATGTTCACACCTCATGAAAGAGGGAAAAACTATGGTGTAAGCTATGAAGTAGGGTTTGAACTGAACATTCAAAGTTGCACGACACGTGCTCCTGTGACAATAATTACCCCGCATCAATTTCCTACGTTAACCGAATTAGTAACTTCAACCCTGGTCCCAACACTATACCTAACCCAAACCCTAAAAATGCTAACTCTAATCTTAAACCTAACTTAAAACCCATTTGTAACCTTTACCCCAAGCCTGTACATTTGACGAAATGAATGCCGGAGCAATTGTCGCGGGAGCAGTTATCCGGTTGCCATCAAAGATTATGAATTAAGAAGGACTTCTCAAAGTACACTTGTTTCTGATTGACACCTTCCTGAGGTATTCAGATTAAAGCTATCTGCCATAGATTAAAGGAGGGATTAGAGCGCCCAGCAAGGTCACTGGACAGGTGGTTATCTCATCAACTCAGCTCTCAGTTAACATAAGAAAAAGAGGATCATGGGGGACCAATGGTCACCGATTAGACATTGTTTGTTATATAGAGGGCGCAAGTAGCTATAAGTAGTGCAGTGGGCCTTTAAAAGCCAATTAGATTGTTTCTCTATTATATGTTTTCTTCAATATATTTTCTCGAAATAAGCGCCATGATGGTTTTGTTGAGGGAACGAAATTTCAATAAGATGAAAAAACGGTATTGTCACCTCTAAAAGAACATTGAATCGGTAATCAAAACAAAACTTTTCCATGCAAAATAATACAATTTCATATGAACACGCGAATATGTTTCAAGGACTGAAACGTATGTTGGCTGACTTCGTTTAATATGTCGCTGTAGATAACATCTCTTTTTAGAGACTGATTTTTGCACTGGATTTTGCAGCCTTTGAACAAAACAGTAAGATTTAAATACGAATCGGGTGCCAATTTCATTTCTGTAACTCGCTGTTAAATGTTATTTTTCTGCAGCTGTGACATGACAAGTACGATCTTAGGATTATTACAAAAAGTTTTTCTCCATTGTAGTTGACACGCTTGAAACTAAATAGGCCGACAAAATAATTCTACGCCTCGCTTGTGATTCGTTGAGGGAAATAGCATGCAAATGAGATGTATATAATAATTATATAACTTACTGCTTTTCGTTATGAGAAGTATTCACAGACAAATCTGTGTGAGGTGCAACATTGATCATGGCCGACATCTCTTATAACTAGGCGTTGTGGCGTGCGCCTGTAATCCAGCTAAAAAGTGGAAGTTACAAACTGATTCAGCCGAGGACGCAGGTTCGAAACTGAGTCACGTCTTTCGGATGGTGACGTTAAGGTCGGTACCCAGACGTAAATAATCATATCTGATTGATACACGTCTGTAAAAACCCAATTACACATACACACATAGTACGCAGAGCTACTCAACGGACATGTTTTGGACTGACATCCAGAATGCAAGTGGATACATGAATGTTACTACTAATTCTTTGGATCCCTTTGGAACAACTCCGCTTAGTCTGAGGAGTCTCATCTTCTCCGCTGTGTTTTTCACGCTCATCATCAGTCTTGGCGCATTCTGAAAAGAAAAACATCTACGTACCTACAATAATTACTTCATCATGAACCTGACCATACTGGATCTGCTGGTTGGAATTGGAATGGGAGCTGTCGTAGAGTACTCGTACATAAAACGGTACCCGTTTTCTCAAAATGCCTGTAAGGTCATAACTGGGATCTTACAAGGAATCGCCAATGCTTTTAACATCAACGCGGTTGTGATATGTGCTGATCGACACCAAGCGGTCTATGATCCCATCAACCTTTATCAATCTCGATCAAAGCGCAAGGCAATCATCTTCAACTCTCTGTCATGGGTGATTGGACTCTCGTTCTGGATAGGGTACGTCACAGTATGGGAGTTCGTCATCGATCACGACAACGGACTCCACTGTACTCAGCGGTTTCTTCTCAGTCCGTTGACGAATATGATCCAAAGTGCGGTCACGTTTTACTTGTCTTTGGCCATCATCGTCGTTCTCTATGTCAGAATCTTCATCAAAATCGGAAGACGGTTAGAGGACGGAACAATAAGAATGCGACTGATTTAACGAGCCTCCACCTTACCACCGCCAAGGATATAGTCCAGAATCTGCACGCTCCTTTATAATTTCCCTTCACACTTGATTCAAGCCGTCGAAGATGACGTTATCAACAAACTCTTAATTATGCTCACCAGCCCAGCCTGGCTTCCTAATTTAATGATCACGCCATTATCGGCAAGTAAATAGGGAGAGGAAGCGTTGGTGTGGTGGAGATCAAAATTAAATGGCCAGATTCTGGACTACCAAGGATATTGAGGTGACGAGCGGCGGCGTTTCATCGACATCGCATACAGGCTTATTTAGTGACATTACAGAGACGGGGAGCAGAGATGACACCATGGTATCATCATCTACATCACGTACTGAGACCTAGATAAGAAATATTGGCCAAGAAATATCGGTACGTAATCTACAAAATTTGCCTTTTATAACGCGATAGCAATGACTTCAGTAACTTTGTCCGTCACCTATTCCGACATGAGAATATGACAAAAAACTGCTAAAAAATCTGAACATGAGTTCTGTATAATAGGGCATTCAAATTTCTCTTAACGTCTGTCTGCACTTGTTTGGCCCGGAGGGATTAGACCTCCCATCGTGGTCACTGACAGGTGGTTATCTCGTCAAATCAGCTCTCAATTAACATAAGAAATAAGGGATCAAGGGGGATCAACGGGTACCGTTTAGGGTTTGTTTGCTATATAGAGGGCGCAAGTAGCTACAATTAGTGCAGTCCCGCATTAAGCTGTCTTGGCGATCGTGTTTAATTAACAGCATTTCTAAGCCCATCTTTGGAATCAAATAGATAAAAAGGTTAGCATCCCTCATGATTACACCGAACGATAAGCGGTTTGCTGACAGAATTTTCTCACAAAATCTCTCAATATCAATCATTGAGGGGTAATTTCCCTCGCTCTCCCATGTGACTACGAAAGTATGCAATTGGCACTAAAAGGAAATGTAATGGTAACATAGTTGTTTATGTTTGGTGTCTTTTTAAAGTTTGGATAGATTCCATTGGAAGATCAAATATCACTCTAAATGCATGAATTGGTTTGTAAGCATGTATATTTTTCGCAATATATGTTCCTATCAAAATCTACGGTGCTCATGATTTTCTCTCTTTTTCTTTTTTTTTTCTATTTCTCTCTTTCTTTGTCCCGGTCTGTTTCTCCTCCTAACAACTCAGACATCAACGTCACATGGCGTGGAATCGACGGCTGAAATGACGAAGGCGACTCTTACTCTCCTCCTCATCGTCATCGCTTTCGTACTGACATGGATTCCGATTAGCGTTATCTATTTAATCTACATTATAGAACCTCAACTCATCGTACCTGGTCTGTCAAATGAAGCTTTCACTGTCTTCAGCAATCTGCAGTGTGGGAACAGCCTCCTGAACCCTCCGTTTAATTATGGTCCATTTATCAATGAAACGCTGCTCTGAGTCTTAAATGTTGGACTGTGATTATAGGCACCCATATTCTCATACCCGCTCCCTGTCGGTAGAACTTGTCGTTATGATTATATATACATCACTTTCATGTCAGTGTCGCGATCTACGCATTGATAATAATATGAACGAGCTGTTTTTGTGTAGATTGTAATTTGTGAAATGTAACGTTAAAATTGAAAGTATTTATTCAGATTTATCTTAATGATGTAAAAATATATTGATTTTTGTCCACGACTAAGATTAGATCGCCTTGTGGTAGTTATTTTAGTAAGGTGGTGCTACTTCAATATGTGAACTGGTCAAGATGTAAATTGGATATTATTTTGATTCATTTGTGACGCATGCTAATATACGATTTGGCGTATAGAAAATGCAGTTGTACATATATTAAATTTCATGTTTCACCGTAAACAGCTTTGATTGACCCTATTATTATATAAACGTTGCTTGTCTTTATGTTTGATGCTATAACAACGTATCCTGTCATAGATTTGTCATTGCGTATGATACAAACTGTTGGGCTGTGTTTTTTATTGGAATGACAAATAAAGAAATTAGATTAAAATTTTGATTAATGTTGTAAGCCTAGTTATGTTGGTCAGAATTATGATGATGAACAGAGACGCCGTTAAAGGTGGTGATGATGATGATGATGATGATGATGATCTTGGTAATGATAATGACGTTGATTACGGCTATGATGTTGAGTAGGAATGTGACATTGACTGTGACTATGATTATTTTACAGTGATGCTCATGAAAGACAAATGACGACAATAATTTTGAAAAAGACTTTCGTGACGATTTTGTTGATGATAATGAAAATGAAGGTGATTGTTATCAAATCAGAGATAAGAGCGACGACGGTGTAAAAGATGATAATACTGATGATTCTAAGAATGACGACTGTGTAGTATGGTTACAAGATATAATTCAGTAATAATACACTGTCGCTCATTAAGTTGGAATCCTCTGGACGGCCATGAAATTAGGGCTCAAGGCATGGGGACACAGAGGATTTTTTTATGTTGGGAACCGGGGTAAAATGCAATAAATTATTGAAAATTCATTGCATTTTCTGTTTTTTTTTTAAATTTATGAAATCTGCCCCCTACCCTAGCCCCCGCTGCGTAAAGTCATGGTTCAGTGACAAAGTAATGGCCTCGTAACTGTGAGGCCCCAGGATCAAAACCGTGTCGATGTGCTATATTAGTGCCCTTTTGTGGAGCATTAATCCTCATTACTGTCATTTATGACATAAGGGCGTAGGTCCCCTAGTTGATAAGCATAGCATACACATGCTTTAGCAGTCACGCAAAACACACATTGGCAAATTATTGTTCAATAAAATCTGAGAATATATACTATTATCTATAGATCTATTATTTTTAATTTATTTTTAAAATAATTCCATAAATTGGGGTAAAGCTAAAATATTCCAACTATATGAGCAACAGTGTAGTAAGAATAAATCATCATTATAGTGCAGCTGGAGTATGAATATACACTTCTGCGCTTTAATGAAGATGTCAAGACGATTCCTAACAGTGCTACAATACGAGAAAAAAAACGGCCAAAAACTATTCGAACAGCGCCTCAAAACAAGTTCGTGTTCAAGAAAACAGTGAAGACTACAACAGATGCGGCTTTTCTTATATCTAGTGGTGGGTTATTCCAAAGCTTTGGAGCGGCACAGCTGCAAGCGCAATCTTTAAATGTTACTTTTGTTTTTGTGCGAGGTAGTTTTTGAATCAACCTGTCCTGTGTATTTCGTAAGTCATGGAATTTAAAGATTACACTTCAGACAAATAATTTTTGTGTTTGACCCTTAAAGCTTTGTAAAAAAGCTAAAGTATCTTAAATGAAATTTAATAATAATACTCAGCTTTTCGGGAACCAATGTAACTTGATTAAAACAGGTGTAATATGGGAAATCGACTTTAATATCTATTAGTCTTGGTCCATTTCGAAACAACAAACAAAACAGTTTTTTTAAATAAGATTTTCCCTTAACTTCAGAATATGCAGGACTAGTCTCTGCATGCAGAGTAAAGAATAATTTTTGTTTAATCGAACGTGACCATCATATTTTACGGTGTTTGATCTTCAAAAGAGTGGGGAATGCGACATTTCTCCTGAATGATTAGGTTTTTAATTTTTTACTATTTTCATAATTTGTGTGGAGCAGAAGTGATATAGTTTCACTTTTAATAAAAGTAAATTCTTTAGTTTGATTTGAAGATATTACTTTGCAGGCCAAATACAAGAGTGGCGGAATATAAGTATGCATTAGTATATTATGTAGGCATTTTCTCATGATTATTACATCTCAGCGAAATGTAATGGCACGAAAAGACGCGTCGAGAATGGGAAATGCATACTTGTTAAAAATCCTAATTTTATCACTCAGAGGTAAACCACATCGTTTAAATATGGAGCTCGTAAATAATTGTGCTATCTCAATTGGGTGTCATGTTATCCCAACTTTCATTCAGATATGTCAAAAAGTAACTTTTAACTAGAATTTAATTCGTCACGAGGACGAATAAGGTGGTCTGCCTTCAAGTTATACAGACATGTAAACAATGATGATCATGATGATGATCATGATACTGATGATCTTGATAGTAATGGTGATGACGATGATGATGATCATCATCATCATGATGATGTTGATGATCATCATCAACAGACCATGATGACATCTGATTGAAAAAAATGAGGGGACACTTTTAGATAGCATATAGTCTCAGCTACAACATACTCCAAAATCAACAAAAACCAAGCTTAAATAACGGCGATATTGCTCGTAAAAGAGAGGAATGTAGAATCCAGATTTGAGAAAAAGTCATCTCCCATAGGGACTACACGCAAAAAGTAATGGATCAAGTGATAATAGGGGATAATAAAGTAGATATGGTTGTTTATTACATTATTTGCGATTGTACGTGTTTTAATATTCAAAGGAGATGGTACAGTGAAAGGTCAAAAAGAAAAAAAAGTGAAGAAAACAAATTGTTGGAGACACCCGGACTCGAACCAGGGACCTCGAGGTCGGAAGTCAAGTGCGTTACTGATATACCAAAACATTTCCCATAGAGATCACACGTAAACGGAAAATGGAATTCTCAAATCACACTTTGCAAGTGAAATATGAGCATGATCCCGGCATCTGATCGAGAAATAAATGTCACATTTGTGATAGCTTATTGTCTCAGCTACAACATACTCGATGCTCAGCGAAAACGAAGCTAAGACGACGTAGATATTGCTCGTGAAAGACGGAAATGTAGAATCCATTTTTCAGAAAAAGTCATGTCCCATAGAGAATACACGCAAAATGTAAAAAATTGACATGCCTCCTTTAATCGCAAAAAAAAGCCATGATATTTTCATCAAAATGAAAATTTGTGGATACTGCATCTGTAGAAAATTGTCTCAGCTAAAACATATCAAAATTTGGATGAAATCGATCAATATTTACAGAGATACAATCAATTTTCCAAAAATATGATGACGTCATAATATGCAAATTGAAATTTTGAGTTCG